TCCCAATTGTGACTTTCGAAGTACAACAATTTACTGCACCCACGCGCAAGAAAAGCTATTGCTCGCAATCTAGAGCTATTTTTCGGACGTATAAAGTTCGAGGATATAAAATGGCGAGAAAATGTAAGCCTTCTCGAGGATGCCATTCACGTTTCCTGCCGGGATTACAAAATGGCATGCCACAAAACTGGATTCTGAAGCACCGACAACTTTCTATAGACAGATAGATAAAAAGATAGATGGATAGAAACATATATAAATAGGTAAGCTTTCATTTAGCTCAATAAAATTACAGTCACATACTTAAAATGAATGGAGAATAATATAAATAGAAAACAAAGTTACCCAAGATATACAAACCAGTTACATTAACAAGATTACCTAATGATAATAGCATCCTTGTTTTAAAAATGATTGAGTTTCTTCCCTATGTACTTCATGCTAATTAAATTCTTCTGTTGATATCTGGTAGTAGAGATCTTGAGCTGTGTATTAGTTGTATAAGTACCTATACATTGAGATGTCCCGCCGATAAATAAAATAAATAAATAAATGTCTTTATTGTCAAAAAAATTTACAATTTGTAGACAAAGGTAAAGTAAACAAACAAAGTAAACAAACAAACAAACAAAAGAGAACACAAAACATTATACAAATAACATTGTCAGTCGTTTAAAATAAACATTTATAAATGTTTACAATGTCAAAGAATAAAAAAATAAAATAAGATTCAAAAATATTTAGTAAGTTTATAGTAAATATCAATGACCTCTAGATAAATTTATTTCGATGGCATTGGTAAATATAGTAATGCAAACATTAGACCAGTGTTTACAAGATCAAATTCGATTATCAAAATATAAGTCATTTACGGCATAGAAAGCCTTGTCTAGTAAATAAGATTTCAATGCTTTGCGAAATGAAGAAAATGATGTTATGGATTTGATTTCAAATGATAGGTGATTGTGCATTTTTTTCGAGTTGTATAATATTGAACTTTTAACTAACTCTGAGCTTGGGGTAGGTAGATAAAGGATCTTGCTCAGCGTTCCTGAGTGGATAAGTGTGTGACAAAACTTTCAAGATTTTGTCCGTTATCATGGTAGTGTGGCCTTTATATAATTTTTATAATTAAAATAATTTCTTGAGCGGTAGGCAGAACTTGGATTAATGAGAGCACCGTCTTTTCAGAGCGTAAATATAGTTTATCGTTTATATACAAAAAAACAAAATATAGCCAGCTAAAAATAGAAATTCAGGCATCGCACTTTTATGGTAAGGGTTCTTTCTAAATTCAGTTACTATAAACTCTATTGCCACTTACCTTATTACGTCAACATCCGTCAGCATTTCATCAACAACAAGAACCTGTCGAAGACTTCATTGATCCCCTTGTAGATCTGCCGCTTCGGTCTTGGACTTATTCTTTAGATTAAACCACTCGACCGGTTATCACAGTGTTCTTTTAGATAGTTTAATATTTTAGAGAAAAGGTGAGATTCAAAATTAAAATGCCGATTTTTCACAACACCTAACTATATTTAATATAAAGAAAATAAATAAATAAAAATAAAGAAAAAGATTTAACAAGACATTTATAATTAACGAAATATAAACAAAAGGAAAGAAATTTAATCAAAAATAATTAAAGAATGATATTAAAATTCAGAAGTGATAAAGTTAAAAATACAAAATATTCTTCTTATTAGTCTAATCTAAATTATCTAAAATTAGCATACAATTCAAATCTCTCTTAGATATTTCGTTGCTAGAAAATTAATATATCAAAAAAAATATTAACTGAACAATTGGATTTAAATTAGAATTTAATAAAAAGAACAATTGTAAAATAATCATTTGTGTGATGATATCTAACTTTTACTAAAGCCTTTAGAACAAACAGAAAGTCTTAAATCGTTAATAAAAAAATATTAAAGAAAATCTAAAACAACAAATTAAAAATCTTTATACATGAAATGTTTAAAATTTCCTAACTTGAGAATTGAATATTTAAGAAAATCTTTAAATCGAAAACTTACTAAAATTATTAAAAAAAAACCACTGGATAATATAAGATCTACACGGAGAAAATTCGACCGTCTAATTTAAAAGTCAGTACCGAACTGATCCAAAAATCTATTTTCCTAAACCTCGAAATATTTAAAATGGGCGGGTAAAAAAAATAGGGAACCACCAAAAGCCGAGCCATTCTCAAATCCTCTTCGGGTTCGCTTTTCAGGAACCGTCTGATTGGTCTGAGAAAACCTCAACTACCCTGTCGTTCCCGGTCTAGTTGGCTTTACTTGTCACAGATGTCGTTACTATGACCATTTCTACGTTATTTTTCAAATTATTACTAATATCCGTGTAAATATTATAATTACCGTAAACACAATTACACATGATTAAAACTAACCTAACTAAAGTATATTTTAAGGTCTGTCCTTAAAAAACCAAAACAAATTATATTTATAATTTGATTTCATTAGGTTTCGCTGTTTCATCTTATATGTTTATATATTTCACATAATTTTGGATATTTTGGATAAAAAAAAGGAGGACAGTCCTTAATTTTCAGAATATCATTACGTGAACTTTACTTTAATATTTAAATTAACAATTATACTTGTTTTTATCCAAAATCTGTTTGTATTGGCCCGTGGGAGGTCTATCGTGAGAAGAGTGTCGTATTAGAGTTTTATTGCTTTCTAGGGGTTTTGCTTATATAATCTCGAAGTTAAAATTTAGGGTTTTACAGCTTTAATGATTGATGCTAGTTCAAAGCAAGTATGTTTCAAAGCAAGTTCAGCTGTTTCAAAGCAAGTATTATATTAATTTATGGACGTGGGATTTTAAACCTAACAGAAAAATATTTAGTTTTTCCCAGAGAAACGGGTCCTTCATTCTAAACAGTTTTTACGATCTTCTGAAAAAATACCAATTTAAGGGCGGAAACACATGACAAAGTTTTAACAAGCTTGGGTTGTTGTCTGCTCCAAAATATTCCATTACAAGTGTGAGATGGCCTTTCTTGAGAAGCTGATACATGCTTACGTATTAGGCAAACGGATTCAAATATAAATAAGGAAGAGTTAATATTTTTATTTTTTTAAAAAGTCCTGGCAACGAGTTCTGCTGTTTAGTCCCAGTGAATATCGAACAGCTTTCTTCTGGATATTGAAAATGCGGTCAAATTGAGTCGCACAACACGTACCCCAGAATAGAAGGGCATATCTGAGGTGCGACTCAAAAAGTGCATAATAAACAGTCCTAGCCACTGACAAGTTAAGCTCCTTAGAAACAGATCTTAATGCAAAACAGGCAGATCTTATTTTTTTCGACAAAGCGTCGATATGCATGTCCCATTTCAGAGAATTGTCTACAAAAAGCCCTAAGAATTTTATAGATTTTACGACGTTAATGGTGGTATTGTTAAGTACAAAAGGCTGCAGCGAGTTTTTATACGACAAAGCTTTATGTTAAGACTAAGGAGGTTCGAATCGCATCAAGATTTAATGGTGATTAAGTCATTGCCGTGACGTCCTTGTTGCTCCAAGTGAAGCTAGTGTCGTCCGCAAAAAAACATATTTTACCACTGATGTTTACGTTAGCAATGTCGTTAATAAAAAGAAGAAACAAAATAGGGCCTAGTACTGAGCCTTGTGGTACTCCACATTATATTGGCTTGCTAGACGACCAATGTGGTATCCACCCTCACAAGTTGACTTCTGTTGCTCAGATACGACTTAAACCATTCGAGAGATGTTCCCCTGGACCCATAGTGCTGCAGTTTATTAATTAGGTTCTTATGATTTACACAGTCGAACGCCTTAGAAAAATCACAGAAAATTGTTGCTGTAGAATGATGGTTATTTAGGTTGGAGTAAACTGCACGTTATTTGTGGATTTGTTGCTTAGAAATTCAAATTGATGTTCAGTAAGTATTTTGTACTTAAACAGAAAAGATACCAGCCTTCTTTTAACCAACTTTTCTATGATCTTAGATAGCGTTGGAAGGAATACAATTGGGCGATAGTTAGAAGCTTGATCTTTGTCTCCTTTCTGCAGGGGAATGATTATTGCCGTCTTAAGACATTTTGGGAAAATACAATTTTGGAATGACATGTTCATTAAAGTAGTTAGGTGATTATTTAAAAACAAATATATTTCTTTAAATTCAATAGATTCAGTTTTCAGACCATCTGTACACATAAATAATTATTTATCTTTTAAATATTTTTACACAAACTAGGGAGAGAGTAATCAGACAATGAACGGAGATGCTAGGTGTTAGGTAATAGCTTTTAGAGTATCGTTTGAGACGCATTGACGTTATTTTGGTTTCTAAGTTTTTGGTTATTGTGACAAAGAATGTTATTAAAGGTAGAGTTAATGTTTCCTCATTATTTAACTAATGCAAGCTAAAGAATATATCTTATTTTCTTGTTGTAATATTCTACGCTAAATATGTTCCTGGTTTATTTGATCTGACAAAGATATCATACAACATATGTACGTAATTAATGGAATCGATTATGCTGTGAATAATTTCAGTTTAAAAGTAACCTACATACAATCGTATACTGTGTTTCGACCGTGATTGGGCCATATAACGCAAGCAACAAAATTAAGAAATAAAATACTTTAGCGCGTTTGATTTACATAACATATACTCTCCTCAAATTTCCCTAATATTGCTTCTGTCGAACGCATCCGAGGTCAACCATTTCTGTCAACCAGTTCACTGTACATTACTTTAGTTTTTGCTAAATTCACTTTGAGACCTAATTTATTGTTGGCTGTATGTTTTTTTCTGTATGTATATGGTTCTAAATTCGACTCTACCATTAGCAACACACGAAAAAGCTTCTGCTGTTATTTAAAATAAAGTTTCTGTTCGCATTTCAAACTGCTAGAAAGCTATTTAACAGATTTATTCCAAAAACAGACCATATAAATCGGTCTAAAACATATTTTCATGAAGTTTTATTTTTTTTCAGAAATATATCAGCGAGGGCACTATAGTGAGAGACTGCGTTCCTAGATGTACAGAAAAAGGTGAGCTATAATAAATGTAATACCTATTTAGATATATTAATTATCTATACAAAATGTTTATGATAAGCAGTGGTGGGTGTCAATACTATTGTATTAATATTTTTATGTATCTACATTTTTTAATATTAATTTAATGCGTATTAGTAAACAAAAAATAAATAGATATCCCCATAATACAATAGATAAAATTTTTCTATTAAATTTGCACTAAATATTTTATGGTGGAACGATGGATGCCCTTGATGACAAAATGGCTTCTGGCTATACAAGATTATATTATAAGCCATTATTTTCTAATTGTCGTTTGCTAATGGAATAGCGTTGTAACCAAGATGATAAAATGTTGCCGATAATAAACCTTCTTAATATCTTCTAACCTTTTATCTCACAAAAACTTAGTTATATTATTTAGATGTCCTTGAAGTATGTGTTTAATTTATTACGAGCAAAGTAGATATATTTGATATACAGGGTACCCAGGCGGAGCGTGCATTAGAAGCTTTAAGAGAACCACAATATCTAGATCAGAGATTTGCACATGATTGTTTCACAATGAGATCTATCGATTAAAAATATTTTCAATATGGCGGCACTGCCGGTAATACCGGAAGTTGACAACGACTTTCTTATTTTTTAAATGATCTATAAAAATTTTATGAATTTTGATATCAAACAGTGTATATCTAACATTAACCCTTTTGGAGAAGCAAAAAATATTAAAAATTTTTGAAGGAAAAAAACTGCCTGTCAAAAATTGTATAGCCTAAATGTCAGATTTAGTGACCTTTACCACAGCCACTGCGACATAAAGAGAACATGTTGCTATTTATTTTAAAAATTAAATTGTTTGAATGTAATCTAATATTAACCGTAGCATAGAAGCATTAACCTCCTTATAGAAGGGGAGGGGTTAAAAATTATTATAAATTATTTGTTTAAAATGGAAGCCCACTTTTATTATTTCACTGGGTGATAAGGTTTTTTAATTCGTTACTTTGATTATACATGTTCCTATACCTTAAAATAAATCGTTTAAAAAAAATAAAAAAAAAAAAAGTTTTTAAATTATTTTAAGATCAGGTTTAAAGCGTATATTTCTTCTGGTTTTAACCAGTAGCCCTATGACTGTAAACGTCAAGCGATGTAAACTATATCTGGCCATGTCATATTGCCGTATCACCAAAATACGAGATATATTTTATAAATATCTACACTTTATAAAGTATTAGCAACAGTATTTATAATAAAGGAAATAAACTGTTCGATAATTTTTGGACACTTAATGTCAAAGAAAGCTAGATAAAATCAAGAAAAAATGCAATTTTAAAAACTAAATCTTAAATAAAAAAAAAAAAAAACGATTTATTTTAGGCAGTATAGGAACATGTATAATGAAAAATTGACAAATTAAAAAACCTTTCAATAAAAGTGGGTTTTCCCACCGAAAATTATTTAGCATTAATTTTTAATCTCTCTCAATTCCATGACAGCTACGGGCCAATATTATGTATATTCAATTTTAAGTTTCTGAAATGACACATACCTTCTCTATATATGACAGTGGCTGTGATAATCATTAATTTTGCGGTTAAGCAACGTTTAAGCTACACCAATTTTTTTGACATGCTGTTTTTTTCCTCCAAAAATTTTAAATATTTTTTTTCTCAAAAACGGTTAATGTTAGGTATACACCACACGGGTTGTTCACCACATACGACACGGAGTATTGTAGCTAAACGATTAGATTTTTACAAATTGTAAGTTTTGGGTTCATTGAAGGAATATTAGAGCTACAATTTAAAAATATTTTTACAAGATACAGCAGCGAAAATATCAAAAGTTTTTTTTTTTTTTTTTATTGTTAATAATAATGTAATTAACTTTTCGTTTAGGCATTCATAATACAAGTACATACTTATATCGTTTTTGAAGAAGCTTTACCTCCAGGAATCGCAGCAGAAATTCAAGGTCAATGCATCACCAAATATTTAACGAAATGATTGATCGTTGTAGTAATTTGGAAACAGGAAGTGACCAAAAAAAAAAATATTTTAAATAATATTGTTATCCTATAATAACTTCTTTTAATTTAAATTGAACAAAAATAAAAAAAAAAAAAAAAAAAAAAAAATTGTCTATCAAATTCTGTATTCATACCATTTTTACCTATCCCTTCAAGTTTTCGTAGAAAAATGCATTTTCTTATAATTTAGACCTCATTTATCAATATATCCATGGAATATTGACATTTTAGATTGTTTTTAAAGCAACAAATGCACAGAATAATATTATCGCTTTTTAGCAAAACGATAATATTACTAGCCCATTTTTGTATGCAAAAAGAAAAACTATTAAATCTCTTTATAAAAGAGTATACTTCATTCATTAAATATAACACCATTATTTCCGGCCATATACTAATTAATGACATACTTAATTGTGTTCGTTAATAAATTAAGCCATAAATAAATGTGGATTTTTGAGTCAGAAATCAATATAATAATAAGTTATCAAATTAAAGTCTTTGTTGTTATAAATAAGCAATAATTAAAAAAATTAAATATCATTTTAAGGTGTTACTTTTTATCACACTGTCTAATGCCCATACAAAAATCAGTTTTTTTTTTTATTTGGAGCAATTATTATTTTTTTAAAAAAATCATACTTTGATTTAACCTTGAAATACAATCATATTAACTGGGCCTCTTTAACAAATATTTAAACAGTTTTTTTTTTATTTTTAATGAAATAAATCTTAAATTATATCGACAATATAGTATCTGTACTCTTTTAAAAATTTGGTACATCTTTAAAAAATAATCTAAAATGTCAATAGTCCATGGGTATATTGATAAATAAGTTCTTAAATTATGAAGGAAGAAAAATGCATTTCTACGGAAACTTAAAGAAATAGGTAAAAAATGGTATAATATAATTTGATAGACAATTAAATTGTGGATCTGATTCTCGTAAAAAAAATATACAGGGTGTTCCGTTTAATTAAACAAGTTATTGCCGTTTGAAGCTAATAATTATTTAAAATAAATTTTTAGACACTCTGTATAAGGTAGTATTATTTTTATTATTGCAACACAATAACTGATCAGTAAATAAACTTCAGTAAATATTTAGTGTTAAAAACTTTGATACCCTTTGGAGAAATGAAGCCTTAAATTTTTACTGCAATTTCACAAAATTGAAAATATTTCAAAACGGTAAGGTTTAAGTATAATAAATCTTAATCAAATTTCATCTTTATTTTAATCGTAGAAACTAAAATGTAATAATATATGGTGTTCCATTAAAAAAAAAAATACAACTTTTGATATTTTTTACTTATTTGGGACACTCTTGTATCTTGTAAAATTATTTTTAAATTGTAAAATTTAATAGCGTCCTTCATCGAACCCAAACTTTACAATTTGTAAAAATATCATCGTTTAGCTACAACACTTCGTGTCGTATGTGGTGAACAACCCTGTATAGTGTTTGGATATAAAATTCATAAAATCTTACAGAGAATTAGTGGGGCAATAAAAAAGAAGTTATGTAATAAAAAATGAAGGTACCCATTTAAAATAAGAAAGTTGTCGTCAACTTCCGGTATTTCCGTAAGTGTCGCCATATTAAAAATATTTTAAATCGATAACCTCATTGTAAAACAATGATGTGCAAAAAATCTCAAAAAGAGCTTCCCAAAAAATGCTTATTTCGAATATATCTGTTGAATTAGTAATGAGTTACAATAAAGACCTTATGATTTTGTCTGGGGTAGACTCCTTTCCGCCTACATTATATGCACGCCCCTGTTCTCAAGCACGCCTCAAAATCTTGTTAAGTTCTCTGAAAGTTCGTTAGAACAATATCCGTAACGATCGATCTTTGTCACGTTGTTGAGGACGTGACGACATCAACCGGTCAAGATGACCATACCATTCTGGTCAAGTCGCATAAACATCCATTTCCTCCAATGCTCGACTATTCCTGAAGTCGTTAAAAGTTTTTACGTTCTGGAAATTACATCAATTTTAGTTTTTTTTTTCAAAAATCCATATTCTTGTTGTTACGTAACTAACTACTCAAAACAATTATCGCATATTTGAATAAATGTAATTATTACATATTTCTAAATGAAGCATGCTTTTTTCTGCCTTTCTCTTGTGAGTTAGTTAGGTTAGATTAGGATAATGTTTTAGGTTAGGTTAGTTAGGTTAGGATAGTTTAGGTTAGGTTAGGATAGTTTAGGTTAGGTTAGGATAGTTTTTTAGGATAATTAGGGTACGCACTGACATGTAATTTTTTGTCGGCTGAATATTTAGTTGCATATTGGTAACCATTATATCCTTATGGAACCGCTCGCATGCAAATTCAACAGTCGGCCGATCGACTTTATCAGTATATATTGTTTTCACTTTTGTTTCCATATTTTCACGTATTGTTTCCATATTATTTAAATTCGTAAATCATGAATTCAAAGTGTCTTTGTTTTTTCAAATTAATATTTTTTAAAATATGCGTGATAATTGCTTTGAGTAGTTTATTTTCTAATTCGTTAATGAAATTATAAATTTTGATAAAACATTAAATTTCACTAAATTTATTAACGAACAATACGTAAATCGAACGAAGTAACAG